GGTCAGACCTGGGCCCTGTGTAGCTTTCTTTCCAATGAGCTTAATATTGCAGGTTTTATTCTGGAACCCACTCAGTGGCAGATAGAGATCTTCGTGTTATATCTTCATGTTACATCTTCATGTTTGGAAGACGGAGACAGTCCTATCACTGTTGTTGTAATTTCCTTTAGAGTATTTCTAAGTATTTCATTTACTTCTCAGGAGCTTGGAACACAATTTAATAACAATTGTGGATTCAACAAGAACAAGAAACTACAGAACAGCAGCCAGGTGGATTTTAATCTGGTCCTTCAGTTTATCTTCTAGCTGGACTCTTCCTTAGCAATTGGAAGTGTTAGCAATGGCCTTTTAGTTGTTTTTTTTTGCCCTTGGCTGGGAGCAGTTCCTCTGACTTTCTTTCTTTAAAAGACCTCCTTACAACAGTTTAGTCTTCAAACACCCATCTCATCTGGCGTTTAGTCCTCAAACCATCCAAAGCGATCTTTGCTATCTCACCTCTGTTATGATGCACTTCTGGTTACAGAAATTTTGAAAACAGAGTTGTCAGAAAAAGCCAACAACCACCACTGATGCTGTGGAAACATGTCCAGCCAAACTCTGTGCCCTCTTTCTGATGCCCTCTCTGCATTGCATGGTGTCGGGGAGGTCAGGCTGCTCTCTGGGAAGGCCACCACTCCGAGTGCTGTTCTCTCTGTGAGCTCCTTGCTGGACTCAGCAGCTCACGTGCATTACATCTTCCCCTCCGCAGTGCTGCAGGATGCTGAGTGGGACGGTTTTGCCTCTGCTCTGGCAGCAGGGTGGGATCCTGCTTGCTCAGGAGGGGAGGCCACGGCTCGCTTGTGCACCAAAGCGATGCATGCCCTGAGAAGTCAGCAGGTTTTTGAGGAGGAATGGGCATCACCCTTTTAATGTCAGGACACTGAGGTGCTCGTGGTACAAGTGCTGCTTTCTCAGCTCAAGGACCTAGGGTGTGCCATACAGAACAGTGAGGCACCTGGGAGCAGAGGGGCCATACATACCTGGTGCTTGCCCAGAAGGCCCTGATTTCCCCCTGTGCTTCCAAGGGGGAGCAGAAAGCTGAGAAATGCAGCAGTGGCCTCCATTTGTAGGCAGTTACTGCCTTTCTGCTCCTTCCTCCTTGCCCTTCCTCTCGTGCTGATGGGCACCTTTCGGAGGTATCTCAGGGAAAGGCAGTGTTGTTTCCACAGGACTGGTAAATTCAGCTTTCCTAAGGGAGATGCCTGCAACTCTTCAGTACCAGGTGCCCCCGGCCCCTTGCCTGCACACATCCCATTTGCACTCTGAGGGGACAGACGGGCTGAAGGGAAGGGGCAAAGCAGCACCGATCTGTACTTCAGCAAGAATAGTGGAAAACAAAACCAGCCTGCACTGAAGGGCTCTCCAGGCAGGGGAGGGAAGTATTAGTAAAACCAGCAGCTTTGGAAAACAGCAGAGTTCCCCCGCACCGCACATTCCCTTCCCTGTGTCTCCGTGTCCCAGAGGAAAGGGGCTCCACGAGGCTGAGCCTGACTGCGCCAGGCCTTCCTCTCCCTCCTCAGCAAGGCAGGGCAGGCTCCAGGATTAGTTATGCATCTGACTGTGCCTCTAATAAACTAAATGTAATTAAAAAATAGAGCAGGGCCATTGCATTTTAACAGCTTGGAGCTTTCCCTGTGGAAGGATCAGCAAACAGTGAAGGAATATGAAGATTCAGCTCCCCGGCACCTGCTGGGCAGCCTCTGTCAAGATTAACAGCATCTCGCCAGGTTATTAGAGTGAACATGAATACTTTGGAGGCTCTGTGGGTAGTTATGGTATCACGTTTTATTATCTTCCACTGAAATGAAATTACTTATTGTAATTGCTTGTCAGTCACAGGCCAACAAATCTGACAAAGGGAAGCTTTTGTGAGCGGGGAGCGGGAGACAGAAGGGAAAAGATGGACTGAGCCAAATTCTGCTCTCATTTTTTTGTGGCAAGTGGGGAGAAAATATAACCAGGGAGGGAGGGGAAGGGGGACTCTTCCTTTCTTTACATAGTGAACTGAGATGATTCTGACCAAATGACCTAAATTGAGCAAGCATCCGTGGGAGCTGGGAAGGGAAAGAGCAAGCTAACCCTGGGCTGGGCGTTAGGTTGGGTGGGAGCAGCTGCTTTGTGGGGAGTGCATCAGCCACGGCAACCCAGCAGAGTTTCCTGGTAACATCAAATGTGTCTCTTGGAGGCACTGCTGTGGTTCAGTGCAGGGGGAACACCAGGCAGCGGGAGGTGTATGCCTCGCACGTTGCAGAAATCCGAGTCAGACAAGAAAACGATCCATTTGGGGTCGCTTTTGGATGACTTGGTCCATCCAGTCAGACTTAAAGGAGGGAACAGCAACTGGGAACAAAGGTATTGGAGGCAAAGGGGAGAGCCAGGGAGCGCTGCAGGTATTTGGGAGTGAAGATTGCTGCTCCAGCAGATCCACGCGCTCCTTTGAAAATAGCTCAGGGAGCCAAGATTGCAGGAGCCCAATAATCACGCATTATCTGTTACGGTGCAAGGGAGAGATGCGATCATTTTAGCTGCAGGCAGTCAGCAGTTCCAGCCCTACCTGGAGAGCAGAGCTTGCCGCAGCTGTGGAGGCAGCAGTCACCTCTGCCGTGTGAAAAGCGTCTCCAGGACTTGCCCCAGCAGAAGGCAAAGGCCTCAAGGTGCAGTTAAGATGAAAATGTGCTGCTGTCAAGGCTGGTGGCCGCAGTGCTAGCCGTTTGCCAAGAAATTGCATAAATCTGCCAAGTAAGTAACCGTGTTACTCCAGCCTTTTGAAATCGTTATAGTGAATTCTGATTTCTTGTAACAAAAAAAAAAACAAACAAAAACAAAAATAAAGATTTGGAGGGATGTAATAAAGACAGGCTCTCCCTCCAAATCTCTAAGTAAAAGAGTGGCCTTAAAAGGGCCCTGTGCCTTGTGTGCCAGCAGTACGCACAGAAAAGGGATAGGCCACAGGAACAAGGCAGTCATTTAGCACTTCCTGAGTCTTCATGCTGTTTTTTGCCACTTGCAGCTCCAACTTCCAAGTCAGAAGTATTATGTTTTTGTGTTGATGATGCTGATACCCCTTTATCCAGTCACCATTGGAATGGGTTTCAGTTGTAGGATCTGTAGCTTTCTGCAGTATTTGAAGTACATGTCTCTGTTTATTCTAAGCTTGTTACTTCCTGACTTCATTTGATGCCTTTTAATTCCTTCTGCTGTGGCTCATGCTACTCTCAAAAGTAGCAATGGTCACCTAACTCTTGAACCAGTGAGATCAAATCAGTTTTAACTATGGGAAATGGCCGCTTCTGGCTTCTTCGCATGCATAGATGCAAAACATAGCAGTGCACCTCACAGACTGTGTTGGAAGTGCAGCATCACGTAGATCACCAGCCCGGATGGTTCTTCTGTGCCACAGCTGAAGGATACAGTCCTGCATTTACAGAAATGTACATGTACTAGATGCTGTTCCAGAAGCAATGTTCCAGAAGCTCTTTAATTATTGTTTTGTCTACTGTATTTAATTTCCTAGTGCATGAATCCCTGTCTTGAGATAGTTTTTGTTATGTAATTGCTGTTAACGATTAGAGCTCAGCATTAATTAAACAGATCAGTTTTCATTCTCAGACATTTTAGTTAAGATGCCTTAAGGCTATTAGACTGGGAGGGGGGTCGTTTGTTTTTTTTTAAGCATGTCTTCATTAGAGCTTATGTTTCTTTTATCTGCAGATGAGGCTTCCCTGCTTTGCACTGCAACATCAACCAGAGTACTCTTACATCCCCCCCCCAGCAGAAACCCAAGCTCCAGTGTTTTATTAGAGGCATAAAGGGTGCCTAGTGATACAGTTACAGCTCATACATTTGTTATTTTGGTTCCTGTCCTACTGGCTGATTTTTGAATCATGAATGATAGTAGGATATCGACATACCAATTTTACATCTTCATCTTAAAACCAGCTGTATGACATGCACTGGTGTCTTCAGCTGAGCTCTGTTTAACAACATCATTTCCTCCTTTAAGGTTTATTCTATGATAAAGTCTCTAAATTGACTGCTTATAGTAACAATTGCATTTTTTTTTAAATAAAAGCAGAGGAAGTCATTGCAGATGTTTGGATGTCATGTATAACACAATATGAAAAACATTCATTTATAACACAATACGAAAAATGTCATTTGATAACTCCTATTTGCTGCATGGGACTTGCGTGTGAGCTACAGCAGGCCCTGACGAAAGTCATCCAATTCTGATACGAAGTGGTGGTAAATCCATCCCATTCCTGTGTTCCTGTAGTTAATTATCTTCATTGCTGAAATTGTGAATCTTATTTTGAATCAGAGCCTATACGTTTTCAGTTTTTTGGTCCTTGGATCTTGTAATTTCTCTGTCTGATGTATGTAAAGTTCCCTAACCTAATGGAAATCTTCACTATCAGAAATAATTGTAGGTGTTCAGAGGATCTCACTGAATGAGCAGGGCCAGGTTGATTACATATGTCCTATGCTGCTTAGTGTGAAAAACTGTCATGCTTTTCCAGGAATGTAGGCTGTTGTTACTGCTGCTTGTTATCTTAATATCCTATTGATCTTTGGGGTAAAGATGTTAAGGTTTGATGGATCATTTTGTGCTGGATAAAGTATATAGCAGTGCAGACATCTTGTTAACTATGGGTATTGCGCTTAATAAGGTGATCTGATAGCCTGTTTGGTGTGAACCTGTTGACCATGCTGTGCATGGCTGCTTAGAGTCTTGCCTTAAGTGTACTTTGAAGAAACTAGTAAGAGCTTGGGTGTGGCTGTAAGTGTAGAAATGGGTCCAGATTTTCTGCTCTTTGCAGCAATATTTATCCTAAGAGTTCTCCAGCTGACACCAGATTCCCCAAAGTGCCTTATGTCTTGTGGCTCACAGGATTTGGGGAAAGGAAAAAATATAAAAGCAGCAACAAAATACAACCTTTCCTTGGTTTTCTGAATATCAGGTGACAGAGGCCACCAGCAAGAAACAAATAAGAGAGATGACAAAGTACTCCTGAATGCCACTGTCCAGCCAGTTCTAAAAGTGAAGGGTTGTGCTTGGCATTACACAATTGTAAGTACCTTGTCTTCCTTTGGATGCTTGTAAATCATTTGGCATTATTTTTTTTCCATTTCCTTACTGATAAGGCAGTTGGACTAGATGATCTTTGAAGGTCTCTTCCAACTGAACTCTCCTCTCCTCTTCTCTCCTACCCTCTCCTCTCCTCTCTCTGGCTAAATGTTGGGTTTGTTTTTGTTTGTGTGGGACAAATATCCACACTACAAGGCTGGGTTACAATTTCATCTCTCTCATTAATGACAGTCTATGTTCACACTTTCTTCATTAGCAAACAAGTACGTGGTACAGTAAAGTTGAAAAAGAGCTAGGATGGGATTCTGGTCCTCGCTTTGCCCAAACGCCATAACCAGGGCAGCCTTCACCATCATAGTCTAACCCCGGGGGCCTTTTTTAAGGCTCAATTAAGTCAACTGGGACCATTGATTTAAAGTGATGAATTGGCTTTTCATTGCTCATGCGGGCAAGGTTATTCAACTGCTTTGCAAAATAAAGTCCTCTGGATGGAAGTAATGGCCAGGAATATAATCTTGTCCTGATTCCCCGGTATCTCTTTCCTTATTTGAAAAGATTTATGTGATTTTTTTTTTCTTAATATCATTTCCCTCAGAAATGAAATTGTAACCAAATACATTGTGATACAGGTTTCAAGGCTCATTTCCTTGGTGGATAATCTTAAATCTCTATTGCTCTAATTCTTTAACACTTTCAGAGTCAGTAAATTACAATTTGGTGACAGCAGTTTTTGCTGAGATCTTTTTTTTTTTTTTTTACTGTAAGGTGTCTTCATAATAAGGGGACTGCAATGATAAAATAGTTATCTGGTATTTTAAAATGATCGTTTATATGTGTTTTACTGCATATTCAAATGAATTGATATAAACAGTGTTCTCTGTTTGAAAGGAGATATTTAAAGCTTTTAGGAGCACAGCTGGCTTTTTTTTTTTTTCCCTACCTAATCAGATTAAGTGTAATATACAATGCTTTTCTGTAAAGAAAATTGGAATGCACTTCTCATCAATTTAAGAGGAGCCTGTGGCAGTGTTTAAAAAAATTAATTAAAAGTTGTTCTGTTTTGAGGAGCCAGCCTGAAGCGTGGATCCTCCTACACACGTTTACATTTTCTAAAGCCTGCCTGTGAGACAAGCAAGTATTTCTCTGAAATGCTGCAATCCTGCTCATTCACACCAGTGGTTTACACTGTTGGCAGAGCAACTGAGAGTAGTGAGGGACTGGCCACACTTGAGAACACTCCAGTGTTACTGATTTGGTATTTATTATAAGGCTCCACATTGAGTTCCCCTCTTGGATCAGGAAATTTCATCAGGGGAAATCAGAGCATTTCTAATTAAGCCTCTTTAATGAGATCTATTGCATGGGTTTCTAGGTGTTTGCTATATCACAAAAGCAAACTACACAGTAGACCAGGCAGAAGAACCAGGGAGGAAAAGGCAAGCCCAAAGAACAATGCAAGTTGCATGTACCTTTGGAAAATTAGGGGGACTTTGAAGATCTGCATTTCTAGTCTCAGTGCTTCTAGGACATAGGCAAAGCATTTGCTGCCACTGCTTTCAGGAGTATCTGTCTCACTGAAGATTGTGAGTAGCCATTGCTACCCTGTCAGATGACCATTTGGTGGCCAGAAAATAAATAAATAAATAAATAAATAAATAAAATAAAAAAGTTATTCGTAAGAGTCCAAAAGGAACTACTGCTCTCACAGGTAGTCATTGGTTATTAAGAAACAACATCTCTACTTTTTTATAGGGCTTGATGCTCTTTACTTGCCTGAAGACTTTTCCTTTCTTCCTTTTTTTCCCAAGGAGTGATTGTGTAGTTGAAATGTGTGACATCTTGCTGAGAGCAAGGGGACTAGGCTATGTTTTCATGCAGACAATGCAAAGAATGCATGAAATGAGAAATCAAATAGGTGCTCTGTCTAAATTCTGTAGGTCTAGTGAAGGATCCTTCTTAAAGAGCAGTAGGTAAGGGAACAAAGTAAAAGCCAAAGAAATTGAGCAGCCTTGAAATTGCTCTACTCTCCTCTTCATGTTCCTGGGGCTAGGGACACTACATTTATACCGAGCGGTGTTCTCTCTAAAAGAAAACTAAATGGGGCATGAACAGCAATTCAAGTCCCCGGGGAAATATAAGGAAACTAAATCAGATTGAGCATGTAGGAAAGAATTGTCAAAACCATCCCAGGTGATAGAGTTATGGGAGAACAAGGAAGGACGTAGACAAATGTGGAAAGGAGAAATAAATGTTGGGTGCTGGGAAGACTCCTGTGTCAATCCAATTGGTACCAAGGTCATCCTGACCTTCCACCGAAGGAAGGAAGTTGTTGGAGAGACTGGTGACTGCTTGTCCTCAGCATCTTCAAAAAACAAAGCTGAAAAAGAGGTAGGTAGTTAAAAATTACAGCAAGGTAATTCTGACTGCTTACTAAATGAATGTCCTAGCCCGTGATTTGCATGTGCCAGGTGAAGAAGCAGATGAGCATATTTTCTGGTTACTGAGGGAATGAGATGTTACGTGATGTCACATTGGCCATGGCCAATATGCGAGTGTGCACTCTCAGGTCAAGTAAACCCAGCCAAAACAGGCTCACTCCTCTGCAGTTATTTCTGGTTTAGAAAAAGGACTATTTTATGTTCCAGACAGGGATCTCAGTTAAGGACTTCCTACTCATATGCTATCCACAGATCCAGAAATTGAGATCAGTGCATCATTTGTAGCTATGACTGTCAGCAAGTCAGATTGCACAACTGTAAGAAATGAATTCTTTGTCAGTGAAATGTATCCCTTTTTACTGGGCTATCTCAAGATCTGTATCTCATGTAAGTGCCACCTGTCTTTTTGGCCTTTGCCAGTGGTGCGAATTTTCCAACAAATGCAGCTGTGAGTATTATAATTCAGAAAAAAAAATACTTTCTGGGGAATGAGAAATCCCCCAGATGGATGACAATAGGTAGTCTGTTTTGTGGGAAGAGCATCACTAAATCCTAAGGGAAACCTTTAAACGGTATCTTTGGTTGAGAGGAATGCAGGGAACAAAAGCAGCTATGCCCTCCTTGTGAGGCTACTTAGAGATGACATTTTGAAGAAAACTGCCTATAACTGAAAGAGACATAAGAGAATGGTCATGAAAAAGGAGCACCCTGTACGTGTAAGCAAGCAGGTGCAAAAATGAGAGTGGCAAATCCCTTCTCCTCTTCTCTGTTCCTTCATCCACAAATAAGTTAAAAGATAAATTGTTTAGAAGGAAATAATGGACATGATGAATTAAAATCAAAGTAACAAAGATTAGAGAAACAGTGCACAGAGAGAAAAAATAAATTAAAAATACACCTGAATGCCATTGTGTGAAGATCAAGATCCATCATCTAATTGTGTACTCTCTGATATGTATAAGGGATGGTATTGCAGGTAGGTCTCCAAGGTAGCCGTGTGGTTATGTTCAGAGCTGGCTGCAAGCTGGGAAACCCCTCTTGCAACCAAGTCCATCTACACTGAGTTTGCATGGGATAGGTAAGTTTTTCTTTTCCATCTGAACTTGAATACATTATCTGACCTATTATGGAAATGGAAAGGGAATCCCATTCCATTCCAAAAAGAAGCATCTAATCATCGTGGATGAACTGTAGTGACAGTTTACAGCTTTATGGCTCTCTTCCTGTGTCATGGCTTTAGGCAGTGTATGAGCAAGCCTTCTCCAGAATCTGCTTCTTGTCCAAAAGGACTTGTTTTGTTCCCCACAGGAAATGGGAGAGTGGGGGGAAAAAACAGTTACATTTGGCAGGGGAAAAAAAAATGATAACAGGGGGAGCTCTTCATTCCGGAGTAGCTATTTAAATTCAGGGCCAGAGAAGCCCAAAATCCAGAAAGGAAACTCTTGTTTTTCTCTGGTCAGGACACAGCATGGAATGGAAGAGGTAATGAAAAGGCAGAGAATATATACAGTTCCTGCAGGATAAAGGTCTTCTCTCAGTCAATATTTACTCTCTGGATGAAGGAGATGAAATCATCCCAAATGTACACAGTGCTCTGTCTCTTCTTTATACCCTTTCCCAAAGGTGCAGTCTGAGGTGTTTCAACCTGCAATGGTGGTATTAAATTGCAGAGTACAGGGATTTTCCTGTGCTTCCTTCTCTGGCGGAGAACAGTAGGCCACTGAGTAGGTTTTAGCAGCATGGATGAGCTCTTCAGTATCCTCACATAGCACTCTGAAAAGGGGGGTTAAAAGAGGGGGAATCACTTTAATTGTGTTCCTTGTCCCAGGTGGTTGATTGATTTACAAACACAGCAGATCATGTCAGCCAATGCCAGCCCAACAAGCAGTTGGTCTAGTTAGATGTAGAAGTGGCTCAAAATTACCAGTCTTCATGTCTTCTTTACAGTGATGGGTTTTGTTAAATATTTATGTCCAAGATGCTGTCCTCCTCCAGAAAACAAAACAAAACAAAACAAAAATCAGCTGTCATTTTGATTGAAAAGAGCGGGGGACTACTGCCTTTAACTGATGATTTGGCTAAGCAAATTTAGCAGTAAAATTTTTTATAATACTTCAACTTTTCATTAAAAAGTGGCAAATTAAAGGTGGTGAAAGCCTGCAGAACTTCTCCCCGGCGTTGCTGCTGTATTGCTTGGTTCTAGGAATTGCAGCAAGAGTTCCATAAAGTCCTCATACCACAGGGCTGGTGCAGGGCTTGTGTGTTCACCTCTTGCCTTGTGTAAGATAACTGCTGAATTCAAAGTCATGGAAGCATGGTTAGAAAAAATAACTTTTATATGTCTAGTGTAAATCTGTGAACCAAATGCCCTTTGAACTATGTGTTGTCCAGGTATTTTAACGCTTTCATTGTATTTGAACTTGCGATGCAGTGCCTTGCTACTTCTCTGTTGCTGTAGCTGTTTTGAAGGAAGAATTCAATCCAGCCTAAATTCTTGCTGTTGGTACATTGCTGATTTCTAAGAGGAGAGAGCAAAGGTTGTTTTCAGAGAGGTTTCAGAGGAGTATGTTTATTACATGTATTTCAAGCAGATATTTGCAGCCAGTAATGCACCTGCTTACCATAAATACTGAAGTAACAAGATGTCCATAAGGCAGCATGGTTTTTTTTGTCCATAGCATTGTATAATCATAGAATGGTTTGGCTTGGAACAGTCTGTAAAGATCATCTAGTTCCAACTCCCCTGCCATTGGCAGGGACACCCTCCATTAGATCAGATTGCCCAGAGCCCCATCCAACCTGGCCTTGACCAATTCCAGAGATGGAAGTGTTCTCCTAGACTATGACTGAAACAGTGCAAAAGTAGCTGCCCTGGTGTTTGGGTAAAAACAGTATTTCAGCAAATGGTTTTCCTGAGAGCCCCAGTATTATATATTTAGTCCCTATCAAATCTCTGAGATTTTGTACATGCAAAGATGCCTTTCAAAAAAAAAAACAATCCCCCCCTGAAACTCTGTCTAAATATTTCCCATGCTTGCTGCTTCCCGCATCCAGCCAGCCACTAATGCACTCTCCCGCGCATCACCATGTTTATTGCAGCCAGTCTCCAGACTTCATCCAGAGAGAACGTGCTGAGAACAGGCTGAAATATTTTGGAATGTGTACAGAGACATGTGAATTAGATTGAACCAGACTATGCAATAGGAATGACCCTTCTCTTAGAGAAAAGGGCTAACTGCTGTCTGTGCTGAGATCAAACAGCAAGAAGAGGGGTTAAGAAAGCTGAATATTGAAGTAATGGGGTAATAGGAAAATATATTCAGAATTAATGTATTCATATAAATATTGTACAGTAAATTATTTGCCAAATAGCATTCATTACTCTGCAGCAGAGGTCAAATAATGGAGAAAATGTATTTGTGAATAAATTATTCAACAATTAATGCAAAATATAGCGGCTAAATTATTCACAGAGACTAATTCAACCAGTTCTAATTCATTTCCACTTTGAAAGTGTTTCTAGGTACATCTACATGAGCATTTCAGCTGTGGTCATCAGTACTTTTATGAAGCATGCAGTTCCAGCACGCATTGCTGCATGGCCTCAGAAGCTGGATTTGGGGCAAGGTGAACCGGGAGATGCCCTGTTTTACCCACCGCAGCACAGTGAGCCCAAGTGATGGGAAGAGAGTTTGAATGGAAGCCACTGTCTGGAGCACTGCTGTGGTATCAATCCATTACCCCTGCCTCTGCATACTGCAGATTGCAGAATTTCATTCGCTAAGACCTGTGTGGAGCCTGATAACTTTTGTTTAACTACATAAATCCATAAAAGTGTTTATTCTTGACTTGAAGACACAAATAACCTATTGCTTTCCTGGGCCATTTCTCCTATTGTTTGACTACCTTTGTATTGAAAAAGAAATCTGCATTTTAATCTTAAACATAATTTTGTTTCAGGAGCAGCTTCACTGGAAGTTATTATGCTCCTTCTTTTGAACCAAATGTTTTTTTAGTGAACCAAACCCTCTCTGCTTGTGGATCTTAATATACCTTTGCAGTTCAATAAGTGGTTCGACTTCTGTCAACTTCAGCCTGCCAGATCATTTCTCGGTCCCCGAAATCATGGATCCTCTTTGCTGCGCGTGTTAGAAGAGAAGGTAAGCAGACCTCTGCGGGGTATTTAATTACCAGTTTGACTAATAACACAGACCTGGAGTAGTGGCACTGCTTTTATTCTATACAGCCTCTTTGTTTTTTTCTAAGACAGGGAATCCTCAGTCCCATTTTGGATGGTGTTGTAGCCAATCCTCTCACACAGAGCCCCCTGACTTCAGGTTGATTTTTAGGGGCTGGTGGAAAAATGCACGTCTGAAGGGCTGCGGGAGGCGGGAGGATTCTCTGCTGCTGCTGTGATGTCAGTCAAGTTAATAGGAGTGCAAGATGGAGATAAAAATTACATGCGTATTAAGGAGGTTAAGACATGTCAGCAAAGATGACTTAAAAAATGTCATTTTCCACAGTTAATTGCAGTTTATAGTAACAAGAAGCAATTCGTGCTTCCTTGAGGTAAAATCTGAAGGCAGAGGAACACAAAAGACAAGCGCTTTGTATTCACACATTTCAGCACCCTGTTTCCCTGGGTAGCAGTGAGCAGGCTGTCCCACCAGCCGTGCCCACAGCTCATGGGCCTACAGCCCACACGGGTCACTGGTGGACTCTGTCTGGCTTGAGGCCATTTTTTGGTTTGAATTTGGCTGTGGTGAGTCAGGGTTTCTGAGCACCCCACTGAAGATTTGGGCCTAGAAGGGGTCTGCGCACAGGTAGGCCCCACCACAAGGCTGGTGGCCATTTTGTGCTCCACGCAGGGGCAGGCGGCAGGCCAGGCCTGTCTGAGGAGGGGGGAACATGGGGAAGGCACTCCTGAGGTAAATGGGCACCTTGGGCAGCCCATGCCCCGTCTGTGGCCACTCCAGTGTGGTTGTAGGGCTGCTGGAAAGAAATCGAGTGAGAATTGACAGGTTATCTAATGTGCATATTAAAACACAGAGCTCTGCAAGGTCCGGGAGCAGGCTGCCGTCGAAGGCATGAGGAAAATGGCATCAAAAGAGGTAAATTTCTTTCTGTTTGTGTTGGTTTCCTTCCTCGGGAAATCATCAGTGACCTGTGGTGGCTGCTATCAACAAGCTTTGTTTTCCTTTGAAATCTGCCTACTAACGCTGTTTCCAAGTGTTAAATACTCCTAAAACCCCAACATTTTTAAACCTGACGTTTTGCCAGAACCACATGTGCATGTTCAGAAGGGCCTGGAAACCAGAATCTTTGTGAATTTTTGGCCAACAGCACAACGTTGCGAGCATTTGTTGATAGCTGCTTCCAACACAGACAGGGCCTGGTGAGTTACAGCAAAATACCCTGGCTTTCAGGAACTGAATCTGTGGCATTTATTTGGATTTACTTTTGGGATACAGGATTTAACATAGTCTTTGTTTGATATAGTGGGAATCTTACCTGAAGTGAATGAATGATTTTATCTTATTCTCTGTTTCAAGGGCATACCATCTTAAAATGGCTGCAGTCTTTCAATTTTCCTTAATAGACATATTTTTAATTTCTACCATACATCATAACAGAAATTTGGAACAGGTCACTTGTTCCATTGACACAATTTCTTATTCCCACTGAACTAGAATCCCCAAATTTGCAGTATTCATTTAGGCCTTCATTATGTGCCACTGAAGTATAATGAATACACGGATGCCTCAGCAGCAGACCCAGATGCCTTGCAAAATAATCATGGAAATTAACCAGCCCAGGCAGGAAATCTACTCTTGCCCTTACCATGATCGTATTGGTATTAATCAGGGGGAAAAGAAGCTATTAACTGGCTCACAAAGACTATGAAAGAAATTATTCATTTCCAGTGAGTGAGATGCTGGAGTTTGCACTAGAAATCTGTGTTTTATGGTCTCAGAAGAACCGCAGTTTGTGCTGGTGCCCAGAACCTACTCCCATAGCCACTGTGGGCCTGGGGTGAAGCTTTTCAGCAGGAAAGCCTGAGGACAGGGTCTCGGCACTCAGAGACACAGAGGCACCAGCACCTGCTCAGGACGTGCTGCTTTGTTCAATGCTTTTACAGGAAACTTTTGCATGAAGAAAATGCGTTAGGCTTCATAGCGTTTCATGCTGCACTTCTCAGAGGTTTCCCAGCACTGGATCTGCTTTTGTGTTGCAGGTATTGGGAGTAACTGCTGAAGTCTCTAGTGCTACAGCAATGAAATACTGGAATTGGGTGTCTGAAATAAATCTGTTTCAACTGAGCTCTGGCTCAAAAGCAGGTTACTGTGGCTTAATGAATTATCCTGTGTTCGCTGAACAACATGTGTCCTTACATAAAAGGTGAGATAAAGCTACATTAGAGAAAGTCTATTTCATTAAGGTTTAAAGCAGCTAACCTGTGTTTGCCACATCCTGAGTGTATGTCTGGCTGCACTCGGGTGTCTGCCTGGTGATCAACAAGAGATGGCAGTGTTTCTGTGCGGTGGCAGCGATTCTATTGCTGGATCTTCATTTACCACAGTGTCTGACAGAAGGGTGCTCTGACTACACAGAAATATACTTTTTATAATCAACTCTAAGAATATTATGACAGACGATTAATAATCTGACAGCAAAGTAACTATTTTTAATGGCTTTAACTGAACACTTTATTTCATCTTTGAACCAATCCTCCCTGTAATCCCATTACTGCAATAAAAGTTTGGGTAGCAGAATACATACTGCCTTGCTCTGCCTGCAGTGCCTTGATGAGACCTGTGCTGGCAGGAGCAACGTGTTCAGCACTGACACAAAAGCCGCAGGGTAGAATTGACCTGCTGGAACACTTCAAAATTTATTTGAGGTGGTTCAGAATTTATTTTTTATACTTTTACCTTTACTGCTGAAATTTGGCAAGTGTGTCAGCAGCTTGGTTAAAGACTTCTTAATTAGCCTTGAAGCAATGTCTGTTTCATTTGGTGATTTTTGTTTGTCGATGCCAGAGGTGTGAGGATGTACACCTGTTTTTGAAATGGGGACACTGAGGTGTACACAGTTTGCTCCAGAGTGCTGTTTTTTTGTTACTCAAGACATAAGATTTCATGCAGATTCTGCTGACTGAATGTGAATAGTTAGTGAAGTGAATGTGGAGCATTCCCAGCAACTTCTGTGAGCTTTATATGTGATTTTGCATAGCCAAAACCTGCTCATTGATAAGTACGCATTCTTGGTAAGGCGTCTTCTACTAGTCTGATCACTGGTATGGGCTTCTTTGCTCCTGGTTTCCGCAGTTTTCACTTGAGAATCTAAAACCAAGTCCAGGGGAAACTTGTATTCTGATCCTTGGATAGAGCTTTTGAAAAGTTATAAACAAAGCCACTCCTTGTCTTTAGAGACCTTTGTACCTTTCAGCTAAAACTATGGCTCTTTACCAAGAGGCTGAACTCTACAATAAATTCTTTTTTTTTCCTGTATTGTGTGCCAGCATATAATGTGTGTATTTGAAGGAGGGGGGGGGGAAAGGGAATATTTTGAATGATCATTGGTAAATGTTACATTGTACATGGCTTAAATCTAGAATGTGACAGATACTGCAGCTGGCTGTGATTCAGGTAAGGAACATGAATGATTCACGAGGTTGGTAGAAGTGGAGTAGGTAATTCTTTCATCTTGATCATTTTCTCCCTGAAGCCAAATATCTCGCATACAGTGACAGCTTTGTAAAATAGTGTGATGGCCAGTAAGGATAGGGGGAGCTTAGAAGAGACCTGCTAAAACAGATTTGATTTGGATATAAGAGATGAATCCTGCCTCTCTTTGTCTTGCTCTTTTTTTCTTTTTTCTTTTTTTTTTTTTTCTTCCCTTCTCCTAGCATTCTCACTGGGCACGCAGGGAATTGTTAGGCAGGAAAGGTAGCTGGCCTAGAATGCTAATATCTCTGCTTTGATAAGTCTGAGAGATGTTTTAATTAGGAAGAGGATGCAAAGACTTAGAAGAACGTTGTTACTCATGTAATTTGAAAACCCTGGAAACAATCCTGAGGGGCAATAGCCTGAGGAATAAATACAGTTTATTTATCTGGCAAAATGTAGCCAGATGTAGCAGATATGAGGGGGTTTATGAGGAGGCTCAATAGGAAAATACCTGTGTGATTCTCTTTCAGTTGGCTGTTTTCCAGACAGAAGAGCCCTAATATGCACTTAGCATGTTTTTAACTGCTGCCGCCCTGAACCTCCTCACTTGCTTTAACAGTGTAGATAAAGAGCATCTTGTTAAGATGAGCAAAGCCCATAATCTAGCAAACATGAGATGTAATCCACACAGGAGTCCATGTGGTTAGCTGGAGGAGAGGGGATCACTTGTTACGTGGCTGAACATCAGTACAATTCATTGCTGGAAGCCCGAATCTCGCCAGAGAGGCTTTGTGATGCCAAACCTGGCCATACCAGCCCACGAGGGGATTGCCGGGCACATCAAGAAAGAAGGACTGTCTCTGTGCCAGCCTTAGCGTAAATGGCATGTTTGGTTAAAGGCTCTGATGTCAGAGGCATCTTGTTTTGTGATCTCCTCAGAATCGCTGATAGACTCAGTACTCTTGATAGGATGATTTAACAGGACTTAAAATTTACCTCATCCTCTGTCTCTAGCTCCTTTTTCTTTGCTTCTCTTTTTCTGCCTTTCTTAAGTCACCCCTTCTTCTTTTCCTTTTTTTATTTTGTTTTGATTTGTTTTGTTTTGTTCTCATGTCCTGTGTTTTCCTTAGATCTAACTGCAGGTCACCAGCACAAGGTTTTCCCCAGGTCACCTTCTTTGCATCAGAAAGAGGAGTTTCATGAGCCAGTGCAAGGGAGGCATTGTTGCCTTCCCTCTTGCCTGCAGTGAGCTCCTCAATACAATGATAAACTACTTGTATTAAACAAGAGAATAAGAATTTTAAGGCAATAAATAAATCATCTCCCTGCAGAGCAAATCGGTAAACGTGAACAGGGTAAGCTTTAAGCACTTCCAACCCCAGGAACCACGGTGCGCATAAGGATTTGATCCAACCCTGCTGAAGTCAGTGAAAAGAATCCTACAGGCTTCTGGGAGCTTTGGATGGGGATTTGTGATTTTTGGAGAAATGTGGACTATCAGTATTCTTATTCCCCCAGCTGCCTCCTATAAAAAGCTAAGCAAATCTCGCATGGTCTGGTTTCCCTCTGATCCCCAGCTGGCACTCTGATCCTGCAGTGGCAGTAGGGCGAGTGGCAAGGTGGATGTTTGCAAATACCAGTAATACCACTTCTCCCTCTTTCCAAATGTTCAGTGGGTTATTTGAAATATTTGGCTTTCTGCTGCTTGTTAAGTTTTACATTTTGGCAATTTACATTTTGACAATTACTTTCAGTGACAGCACTTCGATCAATAGCGTTTACTGTAATTATGAGCTTTGTGAGCCTGTAATCCACAATTTTGCATTTATTCCCCCAGACGTTTGTTGGTCATGTCATTTACAACAATAATCAGAAACTCGGGTTTTCTTTTGGACAGGGTAAAAACTAGCAGAGGTATTTTGAGAGCTTTGGCCTTTAAGGTTACCTTACTCTATCTCCTTTATTGGCTCTGGTCACAGAACTTTTGTAGTGGGATGAAAGCAGACCTTACTAGAGGGAAAGGCATGTTTCTCAGCAAATCCACTTGCAAGAAAGCTCAAAAGCAATTACACTAGGTAAACAAGAAAGGGTGTTGTAGATCTTGTCCCTTTTTCTAGCTGGGTTCTAAATGCAAAGCTGATGGGATTATTTGATTTCACCCTTCCAAATCCTACTGTGTGTTATCTTTGCAGAATGACTTCTATGTAATCTTTAGTGTGCATAAATACATATTAACAAAACTGGTGCAATGAAAGCAAAATGGCAAGCATCGAAAGCAAAGCATTATCATGCAAACATCATGATTTATTTTTTGTGTACTGCAGGAATTTATTATGTTCTTTTTCCAGAGTGCAGATTCATAAGAAATCTAATGTGGTACGGAAGCTGAACACATATTATGGGTTTAAGGGAATGAGGAAAGCTTTGTGTGGTTGTGATCATGACTTTCACCTGATCTATTTGCATTTGTTCTCCTGATTTCTGTCAGATGTTAATTGTATAGCAGACTGGAGGGATTCCCTGCTTTGAGAGCTCCACCTCTGTTTTCTTGCATGTGTCTATCCTTGTGAGTCTTGCAGTCAAAATATACCATGAATTTCCCCACCCAGTAATAAAATGCATGCCGTGTTCTAGAGGGCATGATGAGGACTTTCATCAGAGCTTCCCATGGGACAAAACAGGAGTTCTCTGCTTTCTTCAGGGGAGTTCTGAGCAATCAGCAGGGGGAGGAGGAAATGCAAAGAGCCGTGTAGCAACCATGATGACAATTCATTTCATCCCAAGTGCCATGCAGAGGGGCTGTAGTTCCTCCTTTTACATACCAGATGGTGCCATGGCTTCTGGCCTGGGGTTTTTCACCTCTTTAACTCCGGAGTGTAACTCCTCAGAAACGTTTTGGAAGGAAGCAAACAACATCCTCTAGAATCAAATATACAAGAGGAAATTAACTAGATGTCTCTCATTTCTGTGTGCAAAGTAAAGCAAAAATGCTCCAGGAATTAAAAAAAATGGGTTACAAATGCTGATTCCATGCTGGTGTCAGTCAAGTGCATTGCTCACTGAATGAGCATGCCACTTTCTACTGTGTCCAGCTTCTGCCTGGGACTTGTACTGTGATACAGTGGGCATGCAACCACCTCCCCATATCTGTTGTTCAGGTACCAGCCTCACCTTCCTTATCTGATTGAGATGAGGCCCCAAAGTCATATCTAGGGAACGAGAGCTTTACTTCCATGTAAAAGTTGAGGGAATAGTGCCTTACACGGTTTGAGTCTTGCATTTCTGATTGTGGATTGGCTTTTATGTTGGTGGAATATATTGAGGTTTAAAGGCTTGAAAACCACCCTCTCCTCTGGATTTGCTTGCACATTCATTGCTCACCACCTCGTGGTACGCAGTTTGCTGTATGGAGTAGCAGTAGTGCTAGCAGTAATATCTAGTGTAATTAGCATTTAAAGATAGGAATGCTGGATTCAGGCCAAGCCACTCCAATTTTGCATCATGGCAGTGATAAACAGGAACACTGCACACGCATGAGATAATTTCACATTAGGACTGGGCAGCTTTCTAATTCCAGCACGATGAACCTTCTGCTGTCGGGGTGGATGAGGAGTGCAGGTCCACCTCACGGGCAGGAAACACCACAAGTACCTCGCTGCAGCAATGGCATCGCCATGCTCGCTCACGTCATTCATAACCCTGCTGTCCAACTGCATTTCAATTCAGCCC